TTGTGAGAGGCCCCTCCCGACCTCTTTGCAGGAGGACCAGAGTGTTCTCTCACCCCCGTCATCCTGGTGTCACTGTTGTAGCCCTTGCAAAGTTCTGCTAGTCTTCCAGGTCATTCCAGCCTGCCTGGAAGGCTGCCCCCAACCAAGGGCAGCCTCAGGGCCTGCTGAGAATGCTGCCTGCCCGGCAGGCCCTTCCCCGACTTGGAAAGAACAGTGGAAAATTAAGAGGGCCCCTAAGAAAAATCAAGGGCTTGTGTTGGGGTGGAGGGGAGAGGGGAGGGAGTAGAGAAAAGTAATATGGAAAAAAGAGAGAAAGGAATTGGGAGGGGAAACCCAAGGAATTAAAAAAAAAAAAATGGACTAGAGGGAAAGGCAGAAAAGGAGGAAGGAAAAAAGAAAACGAAAGAAAGATAAGGAGAGGATAAAACACACACAAAGGAAATAGTGTGACTGATAGAAAGGAACCAAAGAAAAAATAAAGGTAAATTGCGGGGTGAGGTGGGGTGGGGGCGGGATGGAGAGCAGAAAGTACACAGGAAAGACTATTTACAAAAAGCAAGATGAACCAAACTGCAGAAGGGCCGGGAGAAAAATTCAAATATAAAAAAGAGCGCCATCGAGAGAAAACGCAGACGGGGCGCGGGGCGGGGGGCGGATGAAAGAAAAGACAAAAGAAAGAGCGCGCCCCAGATCTGACCACTTTCATGAAACCGAGAAAAGGGACCCCGCGAGCAGCTTGGCCAGACCCGCGCCGTCCGCGGCGCAGCGCAGCCTCAGCGCTTCCGACGGGCGCGTCGACGGCGCCGCACACGCCCCGTCACCACCGACCCCAGGCCGCGGCCGCGGACGGGGCTCCAGTTGGGAGATCCAGCCACCAGCCCCCCATTTTGCTTTACGAAAAATAAAACATAATTTACCAAATGCTCCAAGTGGGGAGGATGGGCACCTTCGGCCCCCCCCCCCCCCGCCCCTTCCCGTCGGCGTCCGGGAGCGGAGAGCGGGGGCGGGAGCTGACACGGAGGTGCCAGGTCCCCGTGGCCGGAACCCCCGGGGGCGCGGCGGCTGCGCTCAAAGCCGGGTTGTAAAGGGCTCAGGCGGTCTGTGGGGCCGCGCTGAATGGGCTCCCGGAGGTAAACAGACTCTTAACTTTCAACTTGGCCTTGACCTTCCTGAAGGTGTCTGGCCGGTATGTAAAGGAGCGGCTGAGGCTTTCAGCCGGCTTGGCGGGGTCAGGAAGGGGGGCAGGGGGTGGGGGAGGGTCAGGACTCTGGGAGGGCCTCCCTCGAGGCTCCCCTCAGACACAAAGGAGCCTGTGGGGCTGGGAGAAGGGCTGGCTCGGCAAAGGCGGGCTGAGGGCTCCGGAGGCCTGGGTTTCAGAGGCTCTGGCCCTGAGAGTCTGTGGAGGCCCAGGGAGGAGTGGGAGACCCTGAGCCTGCCCAGTCTGGATGGAATCCTCAGACTCACTCCTGCGGAGAGAAGGGACTGGCACTCTATTTATTTATTTATTTTAAGATTTATTTATTTACGCATACAAGAGCTGGGGTACAGGCCAGAGGTGGGGGGGGGGAGGATACACCAGAGCCAGAGTGGGGAGCAGAACAGGCAGACTGACTGAAATACACTGCTGAGGGGAGCAGAGGGCGAGACAGGGGAGGTCTGCCGCCCCATGTGGGTTGCTCCCTTGCCAGGGGGACGCAACTCAGGCTGCAGAGGCTGCACATTGCTTCATAGTGCATTGCTTAACCTCTTGTGCCACCAGGGAGGCCCCGGGACTGTCACTCTTTAGGGCAACTGCCTTTTTCTTTTAAAATAAACAGGTGACTTTTACTTCAGAAACAGACTGTGAAAACAAAGTAGAACTCATATTTATTCAGTTTCTAAGACACTTTCATGTGCAAAGCCTCATTTAATCTTCATAGCATTCTTCATAAGGAATTACTGCCCCATTTTACATTTTACACATCAGGGGACTCAGTCTTACCTTATCTGAGGTCAGCTGGGTCTGTGATAGAGGCACATATGTATATTGATGTGCAGGAAACAAGAGCATATGTTAATAAATATGAGACCCAGAACTGTCCCCTGGGATCTTTACTAGTTGCTAAATAAATTGTCCTATAAAACAAAAACAACCCCCATAGTATTTATTTGTATTAAATGGTGTCTGTTTACCTAGGGGGCTCCAGCACAGCTGGTAAACTTGTCCAGAGCAAGGTCTGTGTTGGTTGTCTCTGCATTCTACAATGCTGCCTTTATGTCGCTTAGCTGCTTATTTCCATGGTTTGGGTAAGGATTACTACATGTCCAAAAACACAGTGGCAGGCTATGAATTAAAATTTTTTATGTAATTATTTTTCTTTCTAAAAATTGAGCTGACATTGGGGCCTCCCTGGTGGCACTATGAAGCAATCTGCAGCCACTGCAGCATGAGCTCCATCCCTGGCCAGGGATGTCACCCGCATGACACAACCAACCTCTCCTGTCTCCCTGCTGTTCCCCTTAGCAGTGTATTTCAGTAGACCCTCCTGTTCTGCTCCCTACTCTGTCTCTGGTGAATCCTCTCACCGCCTCTCCCCCAACCCCTGACCTACACCCTAGCTCTCCTATGCATAAATAAATAAAATAAATCTTAAAAAAAATTGAGCTGACACTGATGTAAAGTACAGGAACATCAAGTGTATAGCTTGAATTTTCACTAATTGAATACACCCATGTAACTGGTATCCAGATTGAAAGAGAGGAGGTTTCTAGCACCCCAAGAAGGCTTCCTCATGTCACCTTCCAATCAGGACAATTTGGGACTGCTGATAGCACAGGTTAATCTTTTCTGCTCTTGAGCTGCATAGTCATAGCTGCTCTTGAGCTGCATACAAAAGTTACTCTCTGCCCCTGGCTTCTTGCATCCACATCTCTGTATGATTGACCATGTTGTGGATAGCAGACAGAAAGTACCCTGTTCTTTACTTATGGCATGCTTCATTCATCCATTCAATGATTGATGGGCATTTGGGTTGTTTCTGTTTTTGAGCTATAATAAATAAACTTGTTTAGGCGTTATAGTATATACCTCTTCATGGACATAAACATTGATTTCCACTGGGGAGATATCCAGGAATGGAATTGCTCAGGGTCATAGGGAACGATTATGATTATTTATATTTTAAATGTAGGGGTTTATTCATCTCTCTGCTATCATCTACCAAGTGAAAACCTTTTAGTTTTGAGGTACAAATTTGGTATTTCTGCCATTCATAATTAGACAAGAAAAATATTTGAAGAAACTGGAAAGCGTTGAAGAGACATTGCCTTCCTTTTCTCTTTGGTTGTTCTCAATCACAATAAAATCTCATGAGGATTTCATGCTTGGTGTCTTTGATTATTAGTAATGTTGGTTGAAGGTGATCTACAGTCTTCATTCTAAGCCTACAACTTGGAGCAGCTCCAACTTGCCCTTTCCTGACAGATGGCTAGGTTAATGTTCAGGTTGGTGAATGGGCACTGCTGAGCCCACCTGGAGCTCAGAGTGGTCTGCTCTGTATAAGTGCTGCAACTCTGGTATAGAATTGAAAAGCTCCTTTCTTCCCCAGAAAAACTGGGGATTCTAGAAAAAGTGAACACAGAAGGATTTAATTTGGGAGGTAGTGAAGGAAAGAGAAAATTTGCTAAAGATAGATTGTTGGAAAAAAAATCCTCTGGCTTCTGAATCGCATGACACAATAGGCCCCAATAGAGGGGCCTCCAGCAATTCCTCCCACCCCCCTTTCCTTGTAAGGAAATTTAAAGCCTGGACGAAGCAGATAGAGGTGCTGAGCTTTCTGGATCCTCAGCTTTCCTGGGCCTCTTGGAGGCTGGGCATTTTTACATGGGTCAGGTGCCTGTGTTCTTGGGGTGCAAACACGTTCATGGCTAGTTAGCCAGCCTTGGCTTTCCCAAAATTCCTCAGATTGCTGAATAGAGGGGAAAGGAATTTTAGGTTTCTATAAGGTCTTCTCCTATCCCTTCCTCCAACTTCCCTCTCCCTCTCAGTACTGCCTTCCTTGGGTCTCCTCTCCCGCTCACTCCCTCCCTGCATCTCTCTCCAGCTGCCCTCTGTATCTCTTTCCCTGCTCTTAAAGGGAAATTCAGACCCCCTTCCATAGGCCACATCTCCCCTTCAGGTCTGAGCTTGCAAGCCCCAGGCTCCAGGTCACGCTTATCTCCTTTTTTTGGAGCTCGTGCCCACCTTCCCCGCCCTCTGCCTCTCCCCGAAATCTGGGCTTCCTCCGGAGCCATCTGGATAGCTGCTGCAGGTTCCTGGGGACTGCGAGTCCAGGGCACTTTCCAGGGCACTTTCCTGGGCCCCGCAGCAGCCCATTAAAGCTCATCCGGGACTGAGGGGTGGGGTGGATGGGGCACCTGGAGAGAACTGGGGTACTAGTATCCAGAAGCTAGCAAGGGCCCCAGAGATTCACCCTTTAACACTCCCATTTCCCAGCCTCCTCTGGCTCAGGCGCATTCCCAGGTTCCCCTTTCAGGCCCAGAGTGGCCTCCTGGCCCCACCCCCTACTCCCCTTCCCCCACGGGATGGACACTTTATAGGGAGCGCTTTTTTATTCTCTCGTTAAACCTGCCAAAGCACAGGAGACAGAGGGCCAGGGAGGGAGAAGAGGCAACGGAGGTGGGGCCTGGCTCCTGTCCCTTCTCCCTCCTGCCCACCCCCCACCACATCCCCCCCGCCCACCCCCCCAGCCCTGCAGAAAGCAGCAAAAGGACACCCTTCTTCTCTCGGTTTCAAAAGCAAAGAGAGAGGGAGAGAAAGAGAGGGGCGGGGTGAGAGAGCGAGAGAGCGAGCGCGAGGCGGGGGTTAAGTATTTTCGCAATTTCTGCCATGAAGATTTTACTAGCGTCTCTCCTCCAGGCCAGCCAATCAGCGCTCGTGCCTGGGCCCCTGCGTCTCTTGCGTCAAGACGGCCAGGCCCAGCGAATGCAGGTGCCTTGAGATCTGTGAACGATTTAAAACGCCTTGGATTCACCCAACCTAGGTGGGGAGAGAGAGCTGGGTGCCCCCTGTACCCCCCCAGTCCCGGCACCCCATGAACGGACCCTCGGCCCCATGGAGCCCGGCAGCTATGCCACCTTGGACGGGGCCAAGGTTGTGGAGGGCTTGCTGGGAGCTGGCGGGAGTCGGAATCTAGTCGCCCACTCCCCACTGACCAGCCACCCTACGGCGGCGGCGCCTACGCTGATGCCTACTGTCAACTATGCCTCCCTGGATCTGCCAGGTTCTGCAGAACCTCCAAAGCAGTGCCACCCATGCCCTCCCGGGGTGCCCCAGGGAGTGTCCCCAGCTCCAGTGCCTTACGGCTACTTTGGAGGCGGGTACTATTCCTGCCGAGTGTCCCGCAGCTCTCTGAAGCCCTGTGCCCAGGCAGCCACGTTGGCCGCCTACCCAGCGGAGGCTCCCGCAGCGGGGGAGGAATACCCCAGCCGGCCCACCGAGTTTGCCTTCTATCCCGGGTATCCGGGTCCCTACCAGCCTATGGCCAGTTACCTGGATGTGTCAGTGGTGCAGACCCTGGGAGCCCCTGGAGAGCCGTGCCACCACGACTCCCTGCTGCCTGTGGACAGTTACCAGCCTTGGGCCCTCTCCAGTGGCTGGAACAGCCAGATGTGTTGCCAGGGTGAACAGAACCCACCAGGACCCTTTTGGAAGGCAACATTTGCAGGTAAGCTGCCCCACTACTCAGGTCCCCTGGGCTCTGATTGTGGAGGTGTAGGCCCAGCTGGCATTGCCTGGGAGGAAGAGGAGGGAGACTTGGGGCTGGTGAGGAGGAGCTTGGTGTTCCTGGGTTAGTTATGTAGGATTTGGGGGGTTCAGGACACTGGAGAGCCTGGGTGGGGGCCCCAGAAGCTCAGTAGGAGGAGCTTGAGCTGGGTGCTATCTGAAACCTTGGGACCACCAGGGACCTCACCTCCCCAGGAGGTCCCGGGAACAGTCCAAGTGTTTCTTTGCTATTGGATGGGTCTCAGGGTGTCCCTACCCAGCAGGATTTCAGTTTAGTTCTACACAAAAGCGAAATAATTCTTAATTCACTGAGTGGAGGGTGAGGGTGGGTAGGAACAGAGATACTGGATGTTCTGTAAAGAATACCTCTTTGGGCCTCCCCGGTGGCGCAGCAGTTGAGCGGTGGGTTGTGAAGCTGCCCCCAGCCTCTGCAGTGCTGGTTCATTCCCTGGCCACCGGGTGAGGGTCCCACATGGCACGCAGATCTCTCCTGCTGCCCACTACTCCCCTCAGCAGTGTACTTCGTCAGTCTGCCTGTTCTATTCCCCGCTCTGGCTCTGGTGAATTTTCTCACCCTCTCGCGCTTCTGACTGTACCCAGTGCTTGTATAAATAAATAAATAAATAAATCTTAAAAAAAAAAAAAAAAGAATACAACCCCTTCCTTTCTCTCAGATGAAGTTTTCAGTTTCCAAAGGAAAATTGATTTCCTCTAGTCATGTTTCCTGTAGTCATGAGTTAGGGGTGTGTGTGTATGTGATTTTGTTTATAAAGCCTATGTGTGGTCCAAAGACAGAAAATGCATGTGAGGGTGGACAGGTGTGATCACAGGCAAAGGTCTGGCCGTATGTGGTGGGTCTGTCTGCAGGCTTGCAGGTGTGAGGGCACTGGAGGGTGAAGGTGGTCTTCCAGGAGCCCAGTCCTTACAAGGCTGAGCCGTGATCAGAGAACCAGGCTGAAGCGGAGGTGATCTGTGTTTTTTAGGGGAGGGGGAGCACAGCTGCACGGGTAGTTTGTGTGTCCTAGGTCTGCACAGTGGGTGCCAAGCTTGTCTTTATCTCCCTCCCTCTCCTGCCTGGCAGACTCAAGTGTGCAGCACCCTCCTGACAGCTGTGCTTTCCGCCGAGGCCGCAAGAAGCGCATTCCCTATAGCAAAGGGCAGTTGCGGGAGCTGGAGCGAGAGTATTCAGCTAACAAGTTCATCACCAAGGACAAGAGGCGCAAGATCTCGGCAGCCACCAGCCTCTCAGAGCGGCAGATCACCATCTGGTTTCAGAATCGCAGGGTTAAGGAGAAGAAGGTTCTTGCCAAGGTCAAGACCAGCTCTACTCCATGAAGGAGCTTCGTGGTTAGGGGTAGGGGGTGGGGAGGGGAAATGGGGGTATTTTGGGGAGACCCGGAGCCTTTCAAGGTCAGGAAGGAATCCAGGATTCTGCTGAGTGGCTTCCAGGGGTGACACTTCCCAGGCTCCTGGGCTGTTTCTCAGGGACAACCTGGGTACCCCGTATGTCCCAGAGAGCCAGTGGGACCCAGAGTTACAGCCCGATCTGCCAGGACACCACCATCTGAAGGACTTGTCCCAATCATAATCGCTCATCCTGGCAGTGTCGGTAACCAACATAACCAGCACTAGTTTCCATAATAATTCCTCTAGTGTTTTCTATCTGGAGCGCTGTGGAGCAGTTTAGAAATGGCCTTCATGGATTGAGACGATCATGAATAAACTTGGAAGGAGACCTGTGGCAGGGCAGCTTCCTATGGGTCCCCTTCCATTTCCAGAACCCACCCTCCATTCCAGTGACCCAGGGGGAGGGGAGAAAAGGCAACTCACCCCTGTGACCATGTGGACACTGCTGGAGGGTCCCTCTCCCTCTGTGCTCACTCCCTAGGTTGTAACCCACTGGCTTTGGAAGTTTTGGTCCCCCACTCTTTAGATTTTGTCCTGTACAAATGAGGTCAGTGGCTCCCCTCCATTGCTTGCAGAGAGATGGGGTTGGAAGGAGAAAGTGCCTGGTTAACGCACCATTTCTCTCCCCAACATTGCAAGTCTTCTCTTAACATTCCTGGTGGTTCTGACTTGTCATGATTCATTGGCCATTCCGGAGCCACGTGAAATAGGTGTTTGTAGCCTGTAGATTCGCCCCTCCAGGGACAAACGGTTCCAGGACTAAGAGTCTAGCTTACCGGCAGGCACCTCCCGAAGGCCGCTAAGCCCAGGTACACCTCCCCAACACCGCCGCTGCAGCCCAGCGGGAAAGAAACCCAGAAAATGGCCCCTTTCACCACCCATTCTCTTCCGCTTTCCTCCTGTGACACCCGGAGAGCTTGGGAGTTTCAGGCCTTTTTGCGGATTAAAGATCCGCACACAGTAGAACCACCAGGGTTCAGGGTCGGGGGCCGGGTGGGCCCAGGAGACGGAGGCTCCAGTGTTCGTTTCTTTTTCGTTTTACGCTCGTTCAGCCCACGTACCCGGCATCCCGGGCGGCTGGAAAGCGGGTTGGCACCAACTCTCTTTTCCCGTCCGCCTGAGGACACGTAGTGTGGACCCCCAGAAACCCGGAGCACACCGGCCCCTCGCGCAAGCCGAGGACATTAACAGGGAGTCTCCGCTCTCTGCCGGCGCCCCGATGTTGTGCTCCTGGGCTCGGTGGCCACGCGGCCCAGCCAGCGGGTTTGCCTTGGGTCCTCCTGCAGCCGGGCCTGGGGTCCCGTAGACACGCTCCGTGCGATCCAGCGCACAGGCGTGAAGCGGAGGGGACCTGCGGCCCGCGATGCGGGGGGCGGGGACCAGCGGGTGGGCGCTCCCTAGCCCGGGAGGCCTGCGAGCGCGCCCAGCCGAGGGATTCGGGCGTCCGGTAGGACAGGAGCTCAGTCCTCGCTGCCGGAAGCGACTCAGACTCTTCAAACATCTATCACCAGAAAGGAGCCCGGGTGGAGGGGAAGCCCCCCAGGCGGGCGCACCCTCCCCACCCCCCACCCCCGTCACCTTAGCGTTTGCTTCTGAGCCCCAAATCCTCCCTCGCCGCTGCAGAAATGGCGAGGGATCGGCGCAGATGGGCAAGTGGGATGTGCATTGGACAGATGTCGGGGTGCGCCTTGGTGCGGGTTCCCCACTCGGGGAGGAGAAAAGGCCCTAAGAGGGGCTGCTGGGTGACCTCCTAACCGAGAGGGGCCTCGGTAGAGGCCTGAAGGACATGGGTCTCGAGACTCTGCGCCCCCAGGGCTCTAACGCCGCCTCTCCGTAATTGGGGTCTTTGAGTTTCGGGGCTCCTCTTATTCGCTGGCAAAGATTTCAGAAGGAACAAAAGATTTGGGGTTTTAGAGATTTATTTCGCGACGAATGTGAGTTTGGACTATTAAAAAGACAAGGGCGCCCCCTTCCGGCAGAAGCGCGCCGCGTCAGGGACACCCTCGCGTTTGTTCCCGAGTCAACCCCCCAACCCCGCCACCCCGGCTTCTCAGACCTGGGGCCTCTGACCCCTCCGGCCGGGAGGTCCCGGGCGGCGTGTGAGAATGCCAGCAGCCCGAGTCGCCGGGCATTGGGCCAGGGTTTCGGGCCAGTCGCCGAGAGGCCCAGGAGGCGGGCAGGGAAGGCGGCACGAGCAGCCGAGCGGTGCCACCTGCCCTCGGCGCAGGTCTTCGCTCCACTGGGCTTTGTATTTATCTTCTTCGCGGGCACAATTCTTAGGGGACTCCCTTCCAGCCCCCACCCACTTTATTTTTCCCCCTGAACGATTTACTTCCATGGAACCTGAGCAAAAAGAAATTATATTTGAGTTGAACACTTTCATGGAGCCCTTTTCCAAACACTAGCTTACTCCCGAGGCGATTTTAGGCCTTTCCACCTAGACGGCCATTAAAAAAAAAAAAAAAAAAGGTCACTAACTGGGATCTAAATTACAACAAAATTCATAGAGCCATACTTACCTGCCCGCAGCTAAAAATGGGGCCATTTCAATCTACGGGAGACAGTGTTTTGCTAAAAATTAATCAGATTGAAACGTGTGAACACAACGTTCACCAAAAGGTAAAATCAGACAATATACTCACGACACATACACGCAGAGGCGCACAAACACACTCGAACACACCAGGCTCCTTTCACCAATTCCGGGCCGTAGTTTTACTCCGGGCTGCTCTGGGCTGCTCCCTCCCGCCGAGTCTCAGCAAGTCCAAACGGGTGGCGACTACGTTGGCTCGGAGCCGAAGTCACCTCAAACTAAAGCAGGTGCATTTTATAGGCCACCAGAGACTGAATTAGGGGCCAAAGACGGAGAGGCGTGGAGGCTCGACCCCCAAGCCCGAGCGCAGCGCGAGTCCCTGGCTGCAGCTCCCAGGCTCTTCACTCCGGCCCGCCACGCCGCCCGCGGGGTTCACTCACCAGGCCGCGACCTGCCAGGATCTGCATCGCCAGCGCCCCCCGCCCCGCACCCCCGCCACAGCACCCCCTACTCTGAGGGATTCCAGGGTCCAAGCTGCGCCTACTGCCGGGGAAAAAAAGGCCCCAAACAAGCACCCCGGCTCTCCGCGGGCCGCCGTCTCCTTCCTCTTAACAGCAGCAGCCTGCCGTCCCGCCCCCTGCAGCTCTCTGCTCCACCGTGAAGTTTTATCCACAACCCTAGGTGCTGTCTTTTAATCAGGCTTCCATGGGGGCACACCCCCAGTGTCCCCCCTCCGGTCCCGTCTCACAATCTGAATTAAATGCATGGACCCATTACCTTAAACTTGCAATGAAGCTTGGAGACGGCTGCAGAGGGGGCCATGGCAAGTTCCTAGTTTTTTGAAATAAATTTGTGCTGTGTTCATACCCACCTGAGCAGGTCCCCTCCCGGAAGGGGTGGGGGGGAACCCCTGGGGCGGCCCTTGGTCTCTTACCCGAGTGGGACACCCGCCACTCCCCCCGGGAGCTCGGCTGGGCCCCGAGAGCGGCGAACACATCCCATGGGGACCCGGCGCCAGCCTTTCCTCCGGTCGCGCCCGCGGGTTCCTGCGCGGTAGAAAGCGGGTGGGCTGGGCCGAGCAGCCCGAGAAAGAATTCCCCCACCAGTCCCCATTCCCTAAACTGAATCCCTAAATGAGAGCGGGACCGGGGGCCGCCAGAATTCCATCACCCCCAGAACGACAAGGAGGGAGGGAGAGCCGGCGTCTGCGGGCACCCGGACGCGAGGGGAGGGTCGGACACTGCCGTTGAACTTGAAGTTTCGAGCTGGTGGTCCGCACCCACCCGCCCCCACTCTCCTAAACGCTTTATGGAAAGAGGGGGGAAGGCAAAGAGCAGCAGGGGAGAGGCCGGCGGGCGGGGGAAGGACCCGCGCCGGCGGGAAGCGCGGGGCCGGGGCGAGGCGCGGAGGCCGGGGTTCGCTCTGCAGCCTTCGCCGGACTCGCAGCCGCGAGTTGGGGAGCGGGGGGCTGTGCACCCTCTCGCTGAGCCCGCCCCGCCCCCGCCGGGAGGGAGGCACCCACGGCTGCGCTCCTGCGGTTCCTCCTCCAGCCTCGGGCGCGGAGGCCCGCGCGGCGGGGAGGCTGCGACCTTGGGGCGGGCGCCTGCAGCGCGGGGCCTGGGGGCCGGTTGGGTTCCGGTCCCGGCCTTTCGGAAGGAACGAGAACGTTGCGCCTGTTGGCCAGCCCAGAGACACGTGCATTTTACTCCTTCCAAGAGGGCGTTTCTCCCCAGTCAGGTAACCTCGCTGATCCGCGGGCCGAGGCAGTGCCGCGCTCGGCCTGCCACCCGCCCCCGGGCGCCCTGCAGCCGCCCTCCCGGGAATTTGGGGGCCTCCGCGGTTTCGGCGGGCTGGGGCCGGGGGACGGCAGGCTCTGGCTGAGACCGTGGCGGGGAGGAGACCTCTTCGGTTCTTGCAGAGACCGGCAGCCGCCAGGGCCGAAAGAAACAAAGAAAGCGCTTCGCAGCACCCGGGACGGGCGCGGCCTCGCGGCGCGCTGGGCGGGGGCGGGCGGGGCGAGCCGCCGGGCTCCCGAGGAGCTGACATTTGCCGCCGACTGGATGGAATTTCCCAGCACAGGAAAAATTAATATTATTGTTATTATTTCTGTTTAAAGCTATCATATTACTTTACAAAATACCTGCTTTGAAAATTGGGAGGAAGATGATTTACTAACATCCCCCTTAAGGGAAATGTTCTTAGAAATGACAAACAGTGCATTGTAGTCTCTGCTGCCTTCCCCTTTCCTGCACCCTCTTCAGAAGCTGGAGCCTGGGGAGGCTTGGTGAGTGGGGGATCTGATAAGCAATTGGAGGGGATCCTCACCCCCCCATGGTGCTCCTATGGCACTGAGCGCTGCAGACTTGCTCTCAGCTCAGTACCCGGCAATGCGGGG